AGGAATTATTATTATAATTCATAAATCTGTCTTTGAGATTGTATTGCTAATAATACATTGCTCATAAACTTATCTTTAACTTTGTATTGCTAATAATATATTGTTCAATACACTTATCTTCGATCTCGTATTGCTGAAAATATGAATAGTATATTTTACATTTAATTTTTAAAGATTTAAAGATGTTTTTAATATGTACATTATATTTGACATTAAGATTTTGAAAATTCTTTTTAGCAATCTAGTTATTGTGATAAAAGAATACAACTGTTACCAACTTTTAAGTGATTCTATAAGTACTTGTCATACTTTAATTTATATTCAGTCTAAAGTCATAAAGTATTATTAAGACTGTGAATTATTATTAAAACATTCAAGTTTCTTCTTTGAATATCATAAATACTCTTGAGTATTTCAAAGCTCTATTAAAATGATAATAATATAAATTATATAATTAAATATATAATTTGTATAACTTTTATTTTGTTAATACTCTTTATGATACTGAATTGATTTTTTTATTTTGAGTTTTTTTTAGCATATAACTTTAGCTTTTTTTTTACTTAATATATATACATATTCATACATATATATATATATATATATATATATTCATATTTATATACTTGTTCAAATTAAAATATTAAATTCAAAAGATCAAATAAGCAAATTTACAGAATTAAGAAAACATAATTTTTTGGCTTTGATAATTTTTGTTTGTAATTTTTAATAATTATTTGTATTTTTATTAAATATATAGTTATATTGATTATATTAACTTAAATAGTAAATAAAAAGAAAACTTTAAAAAATAAAAAAAATTGTTTATTTAAAAAGAAAAAAATTAACTTAATTGATTTTTTTCAATATAAACAAAAATATATTAGTATTTAATTCAAAAAAATAAAGCAGCAAATAATAATAATATTATTAGCAAAAATAACAGTAATAAAACAAGATAAATTATTTTTAAAATTATAATATTAAATTATATATATATTGAATTTTTGTCTGTTTTATATATTTGTTAAATATTTTTTAGAAAGTCAAATAAAGTAAAACAAAACAAACAAATATCAATTATTACTAAAATAATAACAAATAAATATAGCAAGCTTAAATATATTTTTATCCAGTTTATATTGATTAATAATATTGAAAAATATACAAGAATAATAAAAATATATATTAAAATAAATCTTGCAAAATTTCTTTTAAAAAATTAAAAACAAGTAATATTATTTTTGTTCTAATTAAAGATAACTTTTCAAATTATACAAATTGATAATATTAAAAGATATATATAAAAAGAATGAAAATATATACTAAGATAAGTCTTGCAGAATTCCTTCTAAAAAGTTAGAAATTGATAAAATTCCTTTTATTCTGATTGAAAATTACTTTAAATAAAAATAATAAAGTTATATTTAATTCTTTCCAAATTATATAAACTGATAGTATATATAAAAAAAATGAAATATATATTAAGATAAATCTTGCAAGATTTTTTGAAAAGTTAAAAACAGATAAATTTACTTTTGTTTTGATTAAAAATGACATCAAACAAAAGCAACAAAGTTATATCTAATTTTTTTAATTATATAAATTATAAATATTAACAGGTATATATAAAATTGTTTTTGCTTTGATCAAAAATAACTTCAAATAAGAATAACAAAGCTGCATCTGATTCTTTTTAGAATAATATCAAGAGATATGTATAAAAAATGAGAATATATATTAAAATGAGTTTTATAGGATTCCTTCTAGAAAGTTAGAAGCAAATAAAATTGCTTTCTTTCTGACTAAAAATGATTTCAAACAAAAGCAACAAAGTTATATTTGATTTTTTTTGAATTATACATATTAGTAATATCAAAAGATGTGTGTAAGAAAAATAAGAGTGTATGCTAAAACAAGTCTTGTAGGATTTCTTCTGGAAAGTCAGAAACAGATAAAATTGCTTTTGTTCTGACTGAAGATGACACAAAATAAAAGCAACAAAGCTATATTTGATTCTTTTTGAATTATATAAACTGGTAGTATCAAAAAATGTGTGTAAGAAGGTGATTATTTTATCAATAGACTTTTAATTACCAATAATATAAAATTATCATATGAATTATCAAATAAAAACTCTTTGTAATAATGTCCAATACAAGAATTTATTAAAAAATTATCAAGAACTTTTATTAGAAGTTTTTATTTGATGTGATAATTATTGTTGTTATAAAACTAATTTACAGATAAATTTATAAGTAAATCAGCTAATTTTTGTAAAGCTAAATTCATTTGATCTTCCGATACATTGCTAAATGATACTCGTATAAAAGGAGAAAGACGTGGATTGGGCAAAAATACCTAAAATTAAAAAATCAAATAAATTAATGAAGAAAGGAGTTTGTAAAATATTACTATTTCTTACTTCGCCAGGTATTGCCAAAATCTTTTTTTCAATTGCATGTTTGGTAATCAATTCATTTGAATCTTCTATGCCCTTTAACTTAATCCACACAAACATACCAGCTTCAGGTATACTCCATTGAGCAACATCACGCAAATATTGATCAGCATATTTCACAAATATGTCACGCTTTTCTTTATAAAATGCAGTAACTTTATCTACATGTATGAGAAATCCAGGAATTTTCCAATTCTTTAGCAATGCATAAATTATCGCTTGTGTAATAAAAGATGGAGTAAGATTGGTGGATTGAGAAGCTATTTCGATTTTTCCTATTAATGGAGCAGGACCAGTTACCCAGCCAACACGTGAACCAGCCGATAAAATTTTCGACATGGAATCAAATCTCAATACTCGGCCATCTGTATCCAAAGAAAAATAACTTGGAATCCGTGGATTATTGTACTGCAAATAATAATAAGGGTCATCCTCAAGAATTAGTATATTAAAATCATGTGCAATTTGATAAATAGTACGTTTTCGCTCAATAGACACAGAACCACCAGTTGGATTGTTTCCAACTGGAACCGTGTAAATAAATTTAGGATATCGTTTCGAAGAAGACCAATTTGACAAAGTACTTGATAGAGAATCAGGTATAAGACCTTGTTCGTCAGTCTCAATCTCTATTTATTTCGATAAATGTTAATCGAAAAGAAAGTAAAATAAAAAAAATATACAACATCACTTACCTATTAATGTACAAGACTGCGAATTCAAAAAAGATAGAGCTCCTGCATATGCAGGACTTTCGATCAATACATTATCACCAGGATCAATTAGCATTTCAAATGCCTAAAGTTATATAACAAAATTATTATTTATCTTCACCTTTATTATATTATACATAAGATAAAGTAATTCGACGAACCTTAGTTAACAAGTCTTGACTGCCTGTACCTATATTAATAGCGAAATCATGATACGGTGGAGAGTGCATGGCTAATTGGAATTCACGAAGCCAAACGATCAAAGCAGGGAGCCCGGCCTAAAGAATTAAGCAAAGAAATAATTTACATCAATTACAAAGTAAGAAAGAATCACAATAAATATACCGTTGGTCCATATTGCAATGCTTCATCCATCTCTTTATCTTCTATATCAAGTACTTCACCATTTTTAAGACATATTTTAAAACTCGAAAAGGGGAAAGTTTCAGGATTAGGATTTCCGGCACCAAGTGATATCTAGGAAATTTCACTTGGATAAGATATAATTTACAAAAACAAAAACCAAAGTAAAAAAACCCCCTACAATTCCCGGAATTTTTAAGAGTGGAACTAATGCACGGACTATTTGACAAAAACTTTGCGTTAAAGGCTTTTATGATTGTAATTTATTATTAATTTATTTAAGTATACAGTTTACTTGGTGATGGCTTTCTATTAAGAGACTTTTTAGATAAAAAGTAAGTGTAGTCCATGCCGAGAGTAATTAAGAATCTTCAAATAAATGATTTCAGAAATGAAAAAAAAATATAATGCTATATATTGATCAGACTTGAAAAATATTAATCAATCAGGAAACATTAAAAAAATTATATCAATATAAATTATAAATACTAATATTACTATGAATTATATAAAAAGATAGTGAAAAAATCATTTTATTTCAATTCGCCAATATTATCACGTTGTCGCGCTTTTTGTAATTCAGCTGCCGATGGGGCCAAATCTAATTTATCGAATCTTGATTGATCGAAAAACCGTGCAGTAACAGCACGACCACCAAAAAATCGGCCATTAAGGTCCATTTTGGCTTTAGTTGCTGCTTCCTGTTCAACAAATTTAACAAAAATCCTCACTGCTTCGTCGTCAGGAAGCTTTCCATGAGGCACCTTCAAAATAAGATACGAAATAAATATGCACAAATTTAAAAATTGAGATTTTTTAATGGAAAATTCTATGTGCCAATTACCTCAAATATTAAACAACGTTCAACTGTTCCATATTTTTCGTTACATTCGTCTGCAGTTTCTTCCTGAAGAGTATCATCTACTTCTCCCGGACCAACCTATAAATGAAATTAATTATAATATTGTAAGTGTATGGTATATAGCGTCAAAAATTTATTTTATATAAATTCAAATACCATATTTGTCAACAATATAACCCGAGAAAGTTCTTCTTTTGTTTGATAATTTTTAGAATAGTTTCCAATATTGGAGATGTTCATACCTTCGGTTTTACCTGGAATAAAATCGTAAATTAATCAAAAATATATATTTTCTCACGTTTCAATTTATTACCTGATATTGTATGATTGTTGTTATCATCATTATTATTATTATTCGATATCTTAATAATAATACCCGATCGATAATCCGTTTTCTGTACCATCAATGGCTCACTAATTCCTTGCTCACTCTTTCCAAGTCCTACAATTAAACACAATTTTCGTAAAATTTTTGATAAATAAAAAAGGGTTAGTTACGTATATATTAACCTTGTCCTTCCTGCCACCCATATTTAGCAAGCATACGATGAGCAAAATCTTCAGAACCTAATCCAGAAGTCGAACGATGTTCAGGAGATCTAAAGAAAGAATTTTGATATTTCAATGTATATATTTACATGATAGAAATAGTACTACAACGAAAGACATACTTTCGTGGAGATATTACATCCCGAGATACAACATTGTTGTGGTTACTCAATCGCGCTCTTCGTAAGAATGCTTCCTCGCCAGAGATGTCTAAGTCTATATGAGCAGGCGGTTGACGTTCGATAACAGTATCTTCTACTAAATCACTTGTTTTAGAAGACGGCGATGATTCAGATGAATATAAAGATGGTGGCGGAAAATATCCTATTTTGATGTATAAATGATTAATTGATAAAAAAAGATAAAAGTATTATATAACATTTGTAAACAATAATTACGAGGGCTGGCACGTTTTTCACCGTCATAACTTGGAGAACGAAATCGTTTTTCTGCTTGACTAAGAGCTTCCTCTTCTCTACGACGTTTTTCAAGTTCCTTATATTCTTCGTAATCGTTTGGTTTTGTCGGATCATAGTCATCTTCCAGCGATAACGGCGCTTGTCTTACTCCCTTAACACCTTTCTTATTCTCGAATTAAAAAAGAAATTAGTCGAGAGAAATCAATTAATAACATGAATTCATGTAATGTGAACAAACTTTGTCAAATAAATTTCGTGCAGCAGCACGATTACTCCTTATATTCAATTTACTCTGGTTCACGTCTTCCAGCAGATTAGGTTGTTGTTGCTGTTGCTTATTTTTTGAGGAAGAAGCACGAGGAACAGCAGCAGCAGGTGAAGAACTTGCTTTATCTGTCTGAGCAGCCACAGACCCAGGTGGTGAAGTTGCCGGTGCTCGCGGCGTAAGCTTAGGTTTCGCTTGCACAGTAGGTTTCCTTTGGATAGGTGGCACAAATCGCAGGGAAGCTGAAGCCCAACCCGCTGGACATGTTAATAATCACATGTCCCAATTTATTTATGTATTTTTTTTTCAAGGCGAAATTTAATTAATTAATTAATTAAAGTAAGTGTCTTTATATGTGTGCTGGATTTGATTTTGCAAATTTAAAAGAGCGACTTCTTCGGGTTTATTATTATCCTGGTTTTGCCAGATCTGCTTGTGTGTACCTGGGAGAGCAGATTTGGTTTGACCTTTAGAAGAGGCAGAAGCCTGTGCCTGCGATAAAAGCTCATTCTTCTCTTCTTGTTCAGAGGTTCCATTTTGGGTTGGAGGAGGCAAGTCACCGTATAGAGACATGATTGTTTTATTGATTTAGAAATGTGTTGAATAATAATGAGTTTCCAAAGTGTCCATTTTTATGTTTTCTATCATATGATCAAATATATTGCTACCTATAAATGATAGTTTTCTAGAATTTTCGAAACCTAAAGTCAGTTTAGACGGCTAGACGCGTTTTATCTCGTAAAATCCGACTTCATTAAAGTTATTTACACCTTGCTTTTCACACTAATTATTCTTATTAAAAAAACGCAAAATGAATCCAAATTACTTTAAAACGGACGCTGCAAAGGCACATAAACAAGTTTTAGCCGAGGATTCAGAAAAATTGACGCAACACAAGGTTTCTATACATTACGAATTATTTCAAAAAAGTGCATCTTACTAATAACATGCTCTTTAATCAAACAGATTCAAGACACAGCCAAGCGCTTTAACTTTTTGCTAGGACATTCAGGTACTAGCTCGTTGTTTATATCTGATATATCAGACAATTTGGCGCGTACTAAATATCAACTTGTCGGAAATTATATATAGAACTGTTTTCACATTTCATCGACTTGAAGGTAACCTCAACTGGACTTTGTTTAAATTTTTTTTCATTTAGTGTATCAAAAACTTACGTTATTTGACATTTAGAAATCCAACGACGAAGAATTCAGAACCTTGGTCGAAGATACCGAAAAATATACTAAAGCAAATCCGAACGTCGTTGGGTAAATATAATCTATCGCATTTTTCCTTCCTTTATAGTGTATTTGCATAACCTTTTTTTCTTTAGATCACTAAGACATCGAAAAACCGAACAGGAAGAGGACGAGGTTGTTATAACTTCTATTTAATACATGATTACATTTTAATTCCTATATGCCATTTTTATATTGAATTTTTGTTCATTTGCAGGAACTATTGAAGGATGAAGAAGGTGACTCTGGTATTCCCACAGTTTTCAATGAATCTCCGAGCTGTATGTGTTACTATTTGCCTTCTTTTTTAATGCTGCATTTCTTAATATTATTTCAACGAAAAACTCTTTTTGCCTCAATAGTTATTCATAACGGAGTAATGCGTGATTATCAACTCCAAGGATTGAATTGGATGATCTCTTTATTCGATAATGGTATCAATGGTATTTTGGCGGATGAAATGGTAAGTGCGCAAACTAAGATTTCTTGATAGTATTTGTTGTGTTGTAATTATTTTCTATAAATCTTTATTTTTCTACTGAATTTACATGTGCATGTATGTGTGGTGCGCCAAAATACAGGGCCTTGGCAAGACGTTACAAACAATTGCATTTTTGGCATATCTCAAGTACTTTAGAAATATCAAAGGTCCGCATTTAGTTGTTGCACCCAAATCTACATTACATAATTGGAAACAAGAAATAAATAAGTGGACTCCAGATTTTCAAGTGATTATTTTCCATGGGAATAAGAAAGAAAGGGTAAATAAAATATTTTTATTTCATTTGTTTTTGAATTTTAGTGTTTATATCCTTATGTTAATATGCGTTATCATTGATCATTGCATAATAGGCCGACATAGCTCAAAATGTGCTTCTTCCGCAAGATTTTGAAATTTGCGTAACCTCTTATGAAATGTGTCTAATGGAAAAAGCTTATCTCAAGAAATTCTCATTCCAATACATCATCATTGACGAAGCTCATCGTATAAAGAACGAGAACTCGTTACTCTCGCAAATAGTCAGAATCTTTAACTCGCGTAATCGGCTATTGATTACCGGGACACCATTACAAAATAATCTACACGAGCTGTGGGCGTTATTGAATTTTTTGTTACCAGATGTGTTTAATTCGTCTGAGGACTTTGACTCGTGGTTTGAAGCACAAGGAGGAAATCAAGATTGGGTTATTCAACAATTGCATAAGGTACTTAGTTCACTTAATTTGGTCTTACTTTGAACATCAACTTAGACTAATTATCAATTATTTTATTTAAAATATATAAACAGGTCTTACGGCCTTTTCTTCTTCGGAGAATTAAGTCTGATGTTGAAAAATCGTTATTACCCAAGAAAGAAATAAACGTTTATGTTGGTATGTCAGCAATGCAAAGAAAATGGTATCAAAAAATACTCGAAAAAGATATTGCAGCATTAAATGGTAATCTAACTTCTCATATTGTCATTTTTGTCCAGAACTATTTGAAACCTAATAAATAAATTTATTGGCATTATTAATAGGTGTTGTTGGTAAGGGAGAAAGCAAGACTCGACTACTCAATATTGTAATGCAGTTGCGCAAGTGTTGTAATCATCCCTATTTATTTGATGGAGCTGTAAGTAAAATCATTTCCAAGTATTTTTCAAAACACGTTATTAACCAAATATTTTTTCAAACAGGAGCCTGGACCTCCATACACCACAGATGAACATCTTGTTGGTAACTCTGGTAAGTGTATTAATGCATTATTGTAAGAATTTTTTCGTTAAAAATTGTCATATACTTTATAATACAGGAAAAATGGTAGTGCTCGATAAGCTATTAAATCGGGTGAAAACTCGAGGATCTCGTGTTCTTTTATTCAGTCAAATGAGCCGCGTACTCGATATTCTTGAAGATTATTGTATATTCCGGGGATTTGGTTTGTGTTTTCAGATAAATTATCTATTGCATCTTTGAATTTAAGCTTTATTTGAATACTGATTTTATTTCTATTTTAGAATATTGTCGTATTGATGGACAGACAAAGCAAGATGATCGTATAACCGCCATCGACGATTTTAATAATCCCGAAAGTAATAAATTCATCTTTCTACTTACAACGCGTGCAGGTGGCCTCGGGATCAATCTTACAGCCGCTAACATAGTAGTATTATACGACAGCGACTGGAATCCACAAGTAGACTTACAAGCACAGGACCGAGCACATCGTATTGGTCAAACGAAACAAGTTTACGTTTTTCGTTTCGTGACTGAGAATGCAATTGAAGAAAAGGTACTTGAGAGAGCAGCACAGAAATTACGACTCGACCAGCTTGTGATACAACAAGGACGATTGAGTCAAACACAGAAAGCTGCGACTAAAGAAGAGCTATTGACCATGATTCAACACGGGGCCAAAAGCATATTTAATTCGAGCGATAGTACAGTGACGCAGGATGATATTGATCAGATTCTCTTAAAGGGAGAAGAAAAAACCGCAGAGCTGAATAGAAAATATGAGGGTCTTGGGTTAGAGGATCTTCAGAAATTTACTTCAGAATCTGCGTATGAATGGCAAGGCGAAAATTGGCGCAATAAGGTTTATTATCGTTTTTCATTATTAGTTACGTGTAGAATATATATTCTGCATTTTTTCTCGACATTATCATGTAATTATTTTTTTAGCCAAAAGAAATGGAATCTTCTTCAAGTTTTAATTGGATCGAACCACCGAAACGAGAACGAAAAGCTAATTATACAGTTGATAACTATTTCAGAGAAGCATTACGAGTAGGCCCTAAACCAACTGCTCCTAAAGCACCACGGGTTACTAAACAAATTAGCATGTTCGTAAATTTACTTATTTATATCATAATAAATAAATATAAGAAATATTATCGAATGTATTTATTTTTTTTGAATTAATAAATTTCTATGCTTCTAATTAGACCGGAATATCAATTTTATCCACAAAAACTTGTTGATTACTTGAAAAAGGAGATGTATTATCAACAAGTAAGTGTATTGACTATGAAGTAATTTTGATTGATAACTATTCGCAAGTTCTCGCCTCTTTTCTCTACTACGATTTCATCACCATTGCTGTCTCGAACGACATTACCTAAACCATCCCTATCATAATTGCCCCTCGCTTGTCTTTCACTATTTAATTGCTGCTGTAAATTATTGCATTATTATATCACTATTGTTGTTCTTTGCGAACAGAAAACTGCCGGTTATGTAGTTCCGTTAAGAGAAACTCCAGAACGTGAGGATGGACTTGATGCAGAAGTTATGGAATCAGAAAGACGTCAACGAGAAAGAGAGAGACAGGAAGAACAGAACAAAATCAATTCTGGTGAGTTTCTTTTTATTGGAGATTGATGAATTACATGGTGCCAATTAAATCTTCATAATGTTTTTGTAGCTGAACCTCTCACCGAAGAAGAATTAGAAGAAAAGGAAGAATTGACGAGAGAGGTTGATAGCAATTATCAGAACTATTATATGTTTTTAATTTATCAATTTATTTATTTAATATCATGTTTCAGGCGTTTGTTGAATGGAACAAGCGTGATTTCAATAACTTTATTACTGCGACTGCTAAATATGGAAGGTAAGCACTAATTGCTATTATACAATTAATAAAATGAATTTTGAATTAAATTATCTTTTTATTTATAGAGATGCTTTAATAGACATTGCAGCGGAAATTGAAGGTAAATCATACAAGGAAGTTCAAGAATATGCAAGAGTCTTTTGGGAAAGGTATCAAGAGTTGTCAAGTGAGTTCGACTATCCAATGATTTGTTTTACATCATTACTTAACATACATATAAGAAATTTACACATCAACAATCTACTATCGTTTATCCAGATTATGAAGAAATCATAGCAAAAATCGAGCGAGGGGAAACAAAGTTACAACAAACACAAGAAATCCAACAACTTCTCCAGGAAAAAATATCAAAATACCGGACGCCACTAAGTCAACTCGAAATCCCATACAACCTAAACAAAGGCAAGTCCTTTACTGAAGAAGAAGATCGGTTCATTCTAGTCGCTCTCGCAAAATACGGCTACGGAACAGAGGAAGTCTACGATAAGATTCGTAATGATATTGAAAAGTTTCCGCCATTCCGATTCAACTGGTTTATCAAATCTCGAACTTCATCGGAGCTTTCTAGACGTTGCACCACGCTAATTTCGTATTTACAGAAAGAACAGTCGGAGATTGAAGAGAAAGAAGAGGAAGAACGAAAGGAAGCGGAACTTAAACGAAAAGCTGCAAACAATAACAACAATAACAATAAAGTGCGAAGTAAAAGATGATTGCAGTCTCTTAATAAAAATAACACACATATTAACGAATTTCCTGATTTTATTTAGAAGCGACAAGTAGAAATCACTAACGGAAATTCTACTCCAAAACGAAGCCGTCGTTAAGATGAAGAACGTTCTTTACTGAACAACATAATTCTGAGTAAACATTTATAGTCTCATAATGCATCTCTCATCCCATCCCATCTAATAATTCGTGCTATAGAAAAATCATGAATACTGATTTTCATAATGTAAATCAACTCAATATATATCAATATTGAATTCTTCTTTTACCCTATGATTATTTGTCATTAAAATGTTGCACTGAATCATAACAACTAGCATTCAATTTTATTTACAGTTATATGCTCAACAAAACTATCAAATTATTGAATTCGTCCTCACAAATGATACAGGACCAGAATTAGTAGTAATTTTTTTTGAATAAATAGTAATCTATTTTGTATTATTATACAACAAAGGTAGAAGACTACCGTTTGATTAAAAATTTCTTTCTCCTTTCCACCACCATCTCATCCTTCTTTGTATTAGTTAATTTGATCTTTTAACATGATAATAAAGAGAATAACGCCAATCAAAAAAATGTCTTGTAATAAACTCTAACGATCAATTATATATATATATATATATGTATGTATTTGCATCATCATTACAAAAAAACACTACGCGACTGCAGCTGTGATATACATCGGCCAACTCGCAATAACATCCCGCCCATAATCCTCCCACCACTCTATATAATCCAGTTGCCAAATAGGAGTCTCTCCTTGTAGCCTAGCATCTTCTTCTGCCTGGCGTCTTCGCAAATCTTCAATTATTAGCGACTGGTCAAACTGTGCCTGTGCTACTTCTTCAGCATGTCGCACTTGTTCTTCTTCTAGGCGAATTCGTTCTTCTTCCTCTTGTTTTTGAAGCCGTTGTTCCTCTTCTTCTATCTCTAGTTTGTCTTCTGAAGAAAGTCGTATTTCGGAATCGTCGGTGAGCTTTTGTTGTTGCTGTTGCTGCTGTCGTGCTCCCCCTTCAGTATGATGGTAAGCTATAATGTTTTTATTTTCGGACTCTAGTTTTTTACAATTTTTTTTTCGTGTAGTAATGGAATTATGTGAGGGTCGTAAGAAGAATCCAAAGCTTATTATTGTCACTCCAAATATCGCTAAGAGCACATTTCGACGACTTCCGAAATCACGAAATAAACTGTCCATTGCGTCGAACATGTTTATTAACGAATAACAAACGATAGAAAAAATAATAACGCATATATATACACAATATTGATCGGAAAAGAAAATTATCGTTATTTCGTTTCGCAGTTGACGCCATGCTTAATGTTATGAATAGCAAACTCTCTGACTAATCATGACTAGTCAATCGTTTCAATGGTGAGCTTCTATCTTGTAATCTTGACCAGAATTATGATATTAACGTTAATGGGTAATAATGTTTTATCGGGACATTCAGCATTATGGCGTTAGTTTACATTGTCTAAAGCAACTCCCCTAGTTCTGATTGGTTAAGAATATTAAAGGTTAGTTTTAGCGTTAGGATTAAGAGTTAGTTAGAAGTGAAAAAAGATTATATGTAAAATTATCTTCCCGACATTTTTTATTAGTGCTTCAAGCCAGATTTAAGTATTTGTTTTTCGTATTATTCACATTATTTATCTTTTTAATTTTCTTATATTAGATTTGTTTTTTTGTTGAGTTAATCAAAAATTTATGTATTTTTATTGAAAATCCGGGCCACGTGATAATTTTTTGATGATATCAGTGATGATGACCAATTAAATTGCAAGATTAGTATGTAATACAAAAATTCAAGATTAAATAAATATATTTTTAAAAAATATTTTGTATTTCAAAATTTAGTATTGTTACTGTTTTGATTGACTTTTGAAATACTCAAAGATATTTATAAATATTAAAGAAATATTCAAAGAGAACTTCCAATATCTTAATGACAATTCAAAGTATTATTATCATTTTTTATGAGTTCTTGGGAGAGCTGGAGAGTGCTTAATAACATTATAATAAGTTACTTGACCAGGATAATTATAGTAAAGTTTATTAAGAATGATGGGTGGGAGAGTATAATATAATTAAATCTATATAATGCATCAAGCATTAAACTATAATTATAAATAAATCTAAAAGAAGGTAACAGTATGTTCATGATGTGATCAGCTAGAATGAGACCTGGAATTTTTAATAATAATGTTTAATTAAAGGATTTTATATAATAAATATGTAATTTCATTATAAAATTATAATTCAATAATAATAATATATAATTTTATTATTAGATGAATTTATCATTAATTTATTACATGTTTTTAATTATTATTTATTATTCTTGAGATCCTGA